TTAAAAGCCGGACATGGCATAAGGCAGCAGCAGGGGTCACCCCTCCACACTCCTCATGGTAGTATAAGCCAGAATGGCCCAGTGGCCTGCTCCGCTCTGCCCAGCCACCCTCTCCTGGCCCACTCTGCCCTGCTTCTCTGTGGCAGTGGGAAGCAAAGTATCCTGGGGCTGGGGCAGAGCAGGCTGCTTTGTGATGCTGCAGAGAAACTGAGGGTACCAGGACAGATCAGGCTGCCAGGTCACTCCAGCTCTTCCCCCTGCCTTCCCCATGGTGAGAGGGGTGACCCCCTGCTGCTCCCCTGAGCCAGGACCCCCCACCCCATAATCTCCTAGGCTGCCCTGGGACCCATCCATAGGATGACTGAGGAGGCCACCATGGTGCCCCCCAAAGCATGGGGCCTGGGACGGCCAACCTAAGCTGTTCTATGGACAGGACAACTTGGGTCCCCAAAGGAAGGGTGGGTGTGTATGCACACTATAAGTATATAGTCTCAGGCAAATTTTAACGTGGCTGTTTTGGCAGGTGAGTGATCTTACCCACACTTAAGCTCAAACACATTTGCCCAGGGGTTAGGGGGCAAAAGAGGCAGCTGCCCTGGGGCCTGGCAATCTACAGGTGCCTGGGGGCTCCTAGCTGCTGCTGCCACTACTGCAGCAGTGCCCAAAACTCTGGGCTCTGTAGTTCACCACCAGAGTCCCAGGCGGCACGGGCTGTCCAGTGCTGGGCCTCCTCCACCTTGCCCAGGGGCCCAGCAATTCTGTCAGCAGCCCTGCACGTGGCATTCTAGCATTCACGGACACAAGAGCATTAAAAAGCGAAAGTGCTTTGCTAAACCCTTTCTATAGCTCTGTTTGAAAATTACCTTTTGGACCAACTTTTAATGTTGTTCGGCTCTGGCGGAGGGGGAAGGTGGAGAGAACCCATCCCAGACAGTCACAGGAAGGAGAACTGTGAAACCACTGAAATCAAGGGTACAACCTCAGGGCCAAGACTAGAAACACTGTCCCAAGGAAGACTGGTAGATTAAACCTGAGGAGTGAGAGAAAGAGGTCTCTTGGGAAAGGCTGTGTCCAGACTCAGGAGTTTTTTCGAAAAAAGTAGCCTTTTTTCGAAAAAACCTCACCTGCGTCTAGACTGCAGCCGCGTTCTTTCGAAATTAAATCGAAAGAACGCGGCTTTTCTTTCGATGGCGGTAAACCTCAATTTACGAGGAAGAATGCCTTCTTTCGAAAGTTCCTCTTTCGAAAGAAGGCGTTCTTGAATGTAAATAGGGCTTCTTCGAAAGAGAGCATCCAGACTCACTGGATGCTCTCTTTCGAAAAAGCAAGCCGCTTTTTCGAAAGTTCAACGTGCAGTCTAGACGCTCTCTTTCGAAAGAGGCTTGCAGTCTAGACATAGCCAAAGAGCTGAATGGTATTGATACATTTGACCACAAGAGAGTGGGAAGTACTCTTCCAGAGATCTTGCCTGTGACCAGATTATTCTGGGGAACTGGGTGGAAAACTGAGGAAAGGTGCCAGCAGACAGGAGTGCAACCACAATTTTCCTAATGAAAAAAACCTGAGAAGAGTGGACTATTGTGTGCAGTTACCCACTTCACATTGCTATGAGCTCTTCCCCTCCTTTCCTTTCCCTCCCACCAGAGTGACCCTAGCAAGCTAGGATTTCCCCTTTCTCTTTTTCTACCAGAGAGACCTGGCTGGTTGGCATCTCCCCTCTCTTGACCAGTCTCCAAATTACAAGGGAAGGGGACTCTCCCCTCACCCCATCCACTCCTAGGAGAGAGATTTAGACCATCCAGAATCTCTCCTCCCATCCTTGTCTATAGCCAGGGACTAACTTGGGCCACCTGCCCTTTCATTGTTGCACCTTAGCCTCATGGCCTTATGCAGGCAATCTTCTGTAAAGACACTGGTCTACAGGGAGTGCTTACATATTTGTTTTGTACCCTCTGTCACTGAAGGTATTCAAATGCCAGTCTGAGTGTACACAGAAATGTTGTTCTGAGTTTCTTTTCTTTTTAGCATACTCTGCATAATCTACACTCAGATTCTCTGGAAAGCATTTTAATCAGTCCTGATGCGGTGCTGTGATTGATTCATCAGGTGAATAATTTTTGCATTGAAAGAGCACAGAGCTTCATGTACAGCAGGGTGCTAAGAAGACACTGTTTAGTTTTAAACCGCCTTCCAGGCCCCTTCTTATTGACCTCTCAGCACTTTTCTCAAGAATATTAATTCTAGGGTTTTAGCCAAATTGCTATTTGGATGATTGCATTGCGGCTCTGTAAATTCATTGTGAAATGTTAGTGCAAAAAATACCACATCCAACTAACCTAGACTGTGGAGTGGTGTTAAGCATCCACTATTTCCACTTCATGTGTGCTTACATTTCAGTAGTGGAGTAAGTGATTCCTTGTATAGTGGAACTTGATTCACCACTTCATTATACTGGCATAAAAGTCAAGTAATGAAATGGTGGGTCTGACCAATAATTTTTTGAAGTGCTGTATAAACTTTAGTGTCTAAAGTTCTGTATAAATGGCATAAGTATTAATGTATTGGAGTCACAGTGCAGCTTTAACCTACTTTCAGCCACTTGACATGCTGTGAAAAAATCTCTATTTGGTTTGGAGCCAAAATTGTGAGATGTGCCTGTGGAATATCTCAGGAATATGTTTTAACAGCATCAAAAAGTCCCAACAAACAAAACTTGGCCTAATGTTTGTTTGCGGATAGCAACATAAAGGTTCCTTTTAAGTAAACCCTTCCTTCCTGAGAGATTTTTAGGGCCTGATCTAATGTCCATTGAAATCAGTGGGAAGAGTCATATGAACTTCAGTAGGCTTTGGATTAGATTCAAGTTTACTCCCTGGATCATGAATTATGATGTACTTTCTAGCACGTTATGGGACAAGAAGGCATTTTGCCTGGCTACTTCTGTAATGAGAAGGAGGGTCCTTATGAACTCCCCTTATAAATCAGAGCAGCAAATGAATATAGCCCATAATATGTGGAATGTGAGCAAGATAACATTGCTCTAAGAACTTTTAGGTTTTCATGCCCTAATTTGGACTTTTTAATTTTTCAACTTTAGCATGTGCTTCTTATGAGTGCCTGTATTCCGAAGAACATCAGAAATATTAGTGTCCAGTCTATCCTCAGAGTTAATTGTTCTGATATTGTGACATTTCACAGGAAAATTCACTGTTCAGCAATGTGAAAAGAAATCTCTCTCAGAATGAGAATATTACTTCACGTGTTGAACTGATGACCAACAACTAGCGGGAAAACCAGCCAAAGGTTATTTACGGATGCTGGAACAATGCAGTGGTTGTAATCTTTTTGCCTATTATTTTATGGAATTCTCTAAACTATGTGGCCTGGATAGAGAGTGTGCCAGATAGGCCTAAAACTTTGATGTGGTTGGAGGATCTTTTTGAGAGCAACAGCTTCTGGCATAATTGAGAAAATGGCCTATAATACACTGAAGAAGACTGTAGATCTGCATTAACTTTGTCTCTCCCCCCCTCCACTCACACACACACACACACCCTTTCTCCTGTCTCCAGTCATGTTTTATTTACAGTGTTTACAAGATACATGAGAGAGAAAGCAAACTTTGAAGACAATGGTATGTTGTAAGAGTAGGATCTGTACCTTTTAGGAAGGTCTTTGGGAGTTTGCTATCTACTTAGTGAGAGCAGCAATTGGTCAATATTGAGGGGAAAAACAACTAGAAGGCTACAAGAAACATGTACAACCTTCTCTGTGCCACCCTCCCTCCCCCCAAAGAGAAAAGTGAAGAGCCTTTTGGAGGCATCTCCCAGGTGCACTAGAGAAAAATTCCCATTCATATATTTTTAAGGAGTGGGGGCAGCGTTGAATGATTTTGGTGCAACTTTAAACAATAACACATTGAGTTCCTTTGTCCCATATGATCTGAGTGGACATTGAACCACAAACAAAAATGTATAAACTAGCACTCTGCAAGTGATTAGATACTTTGTATGCAGAAACTAGCTTTAATCTACTGAGTGATATATTGACCAAGACACCTGGCTAACATCTGGGAAAGTTTTAAAACAGAAGGGGTCCAGTGAACTCTTTCATGTAACTTTTATCAATTTTACCATTTATCCAGAAATTGTTTCCTGTGAATTTGCTGTTTAAACTGTGGGGAAAAAAAGATGTATTAATCTGCTTCTGCTTCTTGACAGTACAGAATAGACAATTAAAAACAATTAAAGCTTTTTGATTTTTCAGTGCCTAATATGCACAATAACTTGGAGTGAAAAAACTGGGGTAGGAGAGGAATTGTTGGCAACCATGAAAGTATGGCACATTGCCCTTTTTAGGACAGAAGTGAAAATAACTGTTAGCAATACTTCCTGCTTCTAGAATGACTGCAAATATAAAACTGTAGAATGCACAGGGACAAATCTCACCTTCAGTTTACATACTACTGGGTTAAGTTTGGGGATGTTATATTGTCTGCTTCTATTCTGATGTTACTATCTACAAACCATGAGCAGATGTACCAGTGACAGGCCTGGAGGTGGGTGAGAATTGTGGAATGCCATCCTGAAAAGCACAAATTCCTGACCCACTTCCTCCTGCCCCTGGACAAGTATTTAGTGTTTTCTTCATGTCCAGGCTTATGTGATCTTTTGCCATTGCTTTGCTTCTCTATTAAGATGAGCAATTGGCATGGAATGCTCGAAGGCTAATACAGGGATTCTTCTTGTATTAGCAGTGATTGCCTTGATAATGCACAACTTGCAACTGTGAAATGCTGAAGATGTCTTGGGATGTGATATTTGTACTGTAATTGGCTAATGTTGCTGTACCACTGCCCTCTCCTGGATACAATCAGAACTGTTCAAATGTGTGTTGTAGATCCTCACTAAAAGCAGAAGATTTCTCTCACTCAGGCTATAGGAATCTCTACTGGCACAATCTGTGTCTTTAGTAATAGTATGACACAGGAATGGCAGAATTATTTTTATTGCTTGGCACTGTTGGTCAGGTGATACAAAAGGCTACACTTAGTCCTCTAAGTTAACTTTTTCACTGGTATCATCATGAAGTTCTTGAGATCACGGTTTCCTTTTTTTTTTTTTATTACAATAATTCAGCTGACTTGGCCTGTACGAGGCTGTAGAAATCATATTAAAACTATACTGTGTGGTGTAAAACAGATTGCAGAAGAGACATCAGTGCGCACACAGACTTCTTGGATTTTCCTCAGGACTCTTGCATCAGCACCTGCACCATCATGAAACTACTGTGAAGTGGGAAGAACACATTCCCTGCCATGTCTGCAAACCAAGCACAAAGTGTGCATATAAGCAAAGTCATTCATTTTAAAAGCTTCTCTTCATAAGCCACTGGGTGCTTCCCACTTCTGTGAGCTGGGAGATGATACTCAAAATATCGTTGGCTTTAAAAGTGAAAATAAAATTTGATCTAAATCAGATTCTTGGCTTTCTTTTACTCTGCTGTGCCCAGTTGTTAATGCGTGTGTGTGTGTGTGTGTGTGTGGAGGACCTGCTCAATCTGTCTGTTTGGCTGTGATGAAGGAAAAGCTTGTAAAAGTAGCACCAGAACATTTTGTGCGGGGTGTGTGGCCGTACTTCTGTTAAAGGGAATAATACAAGTATTTCAAAAAATGTTGCCTGTATGGAACTATAAAATGGGCTTCAGCCCAAGGCAAAAAAGTCTGTTCTGGATTTTAGGAACTCTATAGCTGTCATATAATTTCACTTATTTTTAAATGGAATTAATATTTATTAACAGTGAACTGATTCTAAATACTTTAGTGGGGACACCTTAAACAATGCCAAGGCCAAATCCTCATTCCAGTGCATATAGGGTAGATGTATGCTCTGGTCTTCCCTAGAGAGTTATTTCAAAACAGGCTTGATAATGTGAACACCCCACTTATAAAATTTGACTTGTCCACACTATCAAGCCTGTTGTTTTGAAATAACGGGCCACTTCTTTTGAAATCTTTACTCCTGCTTTCCTTGGATAATAGAGCTAATTTTGAAACAGTTATTTTGAAATAGTGTTACTGAGGATGCGCCAGTGTTGCTAGTTTGAAATAACTACTCCACAGAGTAATTAGAACAAATTGCTCCCCAGTGTTTCTTGGGACTCTAAGTTAAGGGTAGCACATTCACTTTAACAGGGCTTGCCTCAGACTAATCTTGAGGCTTCTCCGGAGTGTGGACATGCTATTTCGATTTTGTTAAATCAGGGTTTGAGTTGACTTTGAAACTTCCTAATGTAGACATGCCCTGAAAGTAGGGCGAGGGCAACTGGCCCTAGGTCACAGGGTAAGAGAGCTGCTTTGGAGCTGTTACTGCAGTATCAGATCTGTGAGAACCTCCACTTCTCTGCATCAGATTTTGGCTAGTGTATTCTCAGAGCCATAGAACTGTTATCCCTGTTCCTCAGCTATCCTCTGTGGTGAGATGCAAGGAGCCCTTGAAGAGTTATGATCTGTGGAACATGGGCAGTAAGGACTGCCTATGGGCCAGCTTTCCAATGATTTTTGTTCTGTATTTGTACCACAAGAGGGAGCAGCTCACTCAGCTGTCAGATACTTCCCAGAGCTTTGAAAGGGGAGGGGCACATGCCTGCAGGGCAGCAGAGATCAAAACACTGAGCACAGCCATTAGAGCAAGCATTGCAGGATATTGACAGTTATCAGTTCTATCGACAAAACTGATCATCTACACTGGGGCTACAGCTACAGGTTTTCTTTGCATGAGTTCTGATCTCATTTGCATATTTTCTGTGGATCCGTTTTTGCGGTAGGGTTTTTGTGCAAAAACAAGCAGTGTGGATGTTTTCTTTTTGCATAAACCCCTTTTTCTGCAAGATCCTTATGTGGAAAAAAGGATTTTTTGGGGAAAAAAAAGTCCACACTGCATATTTTCTGCAGAGCTGTTTTTTGCTGTAGGGTGAGTGTGTGTGAAAACAAGCAAATGAGATCACAATTCATGCAAATGAGTCCCTCATTAGCATATTTTTGCCAAGAAAATCTTATTATAGACATATCCTGGCTCTTTGTCAACAATAAAGAGCAGGAGGGGGAAGGGAAAGTCACTCATAGAGGAGGAAGTCCTTTTGTCACCAACATGCTTGTTTTTCCTGACAAAAATTGCATTGCCATGTGACTGCGCTCTCATTGTTTTGTTGACAAAAGGCAGTTTTTGTTGACACAACTTGGTATCTTAGGCAAAGCCACAGTTAAGAATAGTTTGTTGGCCGGTGCAACATACTTTAAAAGCCTGTTGCAATCTAAAGCTGATGCAGATGACTACCTGTGTTTTCCACAGCAGTGTATACTCTTCCTTTAGGGGGAAGGGAAACTCTCTCCTCTTCCCAGCTTCATAGATATCCATGTCAATCAAACATTACCCTGAAATGCCTTGTACTGGAATTAAGTTGATTGTGTGACAAACAAGGCAATCCTAAGCAGATGTAAAACTCTATGAACATGTCAGAAAATCAGTGGGGGATGATGTGGGAACACTCATTTGCCTTTACATGGATTGATAGGATCAAATTTGCACCTCTTGTAGCCCCTTGATGTCAGGATTGAAGGTAGATGCAGAATTTCAAATATGCTATCTAGGGAGCCTAAGAGCTAATGCTGGTTTGAACTATTTTGTTAGTATTTTAACAGTCAAATCTGTATACAAAGGTATTTTTGTTTGTTACCACATACAGTAGTGCACTGAATTCCATTTGCTTCCAAGGAGTTGCTCTGGGTTTACATCACTGTAACACACTCAATTTTGGTCCCCTATGTTTAGAATTATAAAACATTGTGCAATAGGAATGTGAATATTCTATTAGTTTTTGGCTCCACTGAATTCCCAATAAAAGCTCCCTCAAATTGCTGATTAGCACGTCCATTGCTTGGATATGCAGGGACAGTTGACGTCCTTGTCACCTTGCAATAGTTCATGATAAGTGGCCCATGGTCTATCCGTGCCCTACACAGGCTGATATTTTTAACAGATCTAATCAGCTGAGAACATAAAACAAAAATACAGTCTTTAAATCTTGTTTTATTACAAGTGCTAATCTAAACGCCACAAAACACATACTGAAAGGATCAGTACTAAAATATACAAGCAGTTTTACTTTGTGCCATAATGCTCTGCCTATAACAGTGGTTTCTTCTGAGAAACTTTTATTCTAAGGTGGCAGGTACATAGACATTTCAGGAATAGTCTCTGTGGTTAAGAGAACCAGATAGAAGTGAAAAACCAGGAGAGACAATGGGGGTAATAAGAACCTATACAAGAAAAAGCCCTGAATATTGGGTCTGTCCTTATAAAATCAGGACATCTGGTCATTCTTTCTGTGGCTAATTCTCAAAAAAAATGTAATTAAATACCTCCTTACCCCCTGATTCTGATGTTTGCTATTTCCTAATTTTCATTACCCTGCAATTGTATTACACATAAAATCTAATGTTAGAAGTTTTTCACCATTCAAAAGGTCTTCCACATGTTCATGCAAAGAATGAAAGAAATATTAAGGACCTACTTGACTTGAATGGGAACAGGATCAGTAATTGTTTACTGGCCTTACTGATTCATAGCTACTGGACAAACAGAAGTAGTATGGTGCAGGCACAGAACAGGAAAGAGTTCACCGGTCTCATCAAGGACTTGATGACATTCAGGCATCTGACAAATATGAACAGTTTAAAGATATACATTGTAATAACCTTCCTACAACCAGTGGCACAGTTGCTCTGATAGCATACTGTAATGCCTCTTTGGAATACTGCAGCAGTGCTACGACTCCAAATGCAACAATTGCAGAATTCCAGTAAGAACGGGTTATGCACCATTAGTGAGCTCATTGGCAGGAGCAGGTGTTCTAGTGACCAAGACTGGGAGAGATTAAAGAGATGAGGAAACTGGACTAAGCAATAAACTCTACAGTGAGCTACTGTTGGGGTCATGTCTTGGGATATAGATGTGCTGACAGAGACATTATCTTTGGAGCTGTGCTAATGGGGCTACCTTTTCCTATGACTGACCTGCATATACCTCCGTGGGTTGTATCAATTTCTAACTTAAGTTTTGTGAGTCTGAAGAAGAGCCTAAACCTATCTCCCAGTGGCTCTTCCCCTGTCCAGTGCAGAACTCTCAGTTCCAAAGCCTACAATGCTAATTCTGACCTCACAAATAACCCTCCTTGGAACCTTAAAGATGAGCAAAAGCTAGATGGGAGTATGTAATATGGATGTGGCTTGCCCAGCCTTTTTCGTAGCATACAACAAGTTTTTGAATAGCAAAAACAGGCAGAAACCTGTTTTGAATTATTCTGAGGAAATCATGAGTATCTGTAGAAAGTGACTATGATTGTCAGGTAAATTACCTGTTCTATAAAATTCATTCACCTCTCCCTGCATATCATGTTTTCCATGTGACATGGATTGTTTCTCTCTCCTCTCACAATTATGTTTAATTAGACTGTCTCCTGTGAACATTTTATTCCTGATCAAAACCACGATATTTTTGAAATCTGCAGGTGCACTTGCCACACAATGGTGCTGGACTGATTAGTTTTCAAGCTCTGTAGCACGGTGCCTTTCATCATGAGAGCAGTATCCTTAAGAGGATTAAGCATTTATGTACCAACCAAGGAATCATACAAAGGCAAGCACATGCATAAAATGAATAGACCTGTACTCATTGCAAGATAATCATGTTATGCCACAACCAATCTCCTGAGACATACATTATCAAAACACTCTTGCCAAAAATTAGTGACGTTTCACTCAAATTATTTCTTAAATCCAAGCAGTTTACCCTCCCCCCACCGGCTAACATAAAACAGCTTGCTTTATACCCAGTCATTCTGAAGAAGGGTGGAAAGGGGAGCAAATTTAACCTCTTCTAAGGAGTTGATTGCGTATTTTGTTTGATTTAAAAATCAATTGCCTTTCATAGAAGGTGGGGTTTTTTTTTGTGGTAATAAAACAAAGAAATTGAGCTGGTTCTGTTAGGCTGTGGTCTTGTAATAAGTTACATGGGAACAGATCCTTGAGTCTGCACAAAGCCCCACTGATTTCTGTGTGTTTTCATGCATAATCTGTTGGTTGTTATGCATTTTTCTCTTGTTTTATGCTGTTAAACCATCCAGAGAGGGAGAAGAAACAGTACTATGTGATCCACTTTGACTATTCAGTTTGTACTGAATAATTAATAGCTGGAAACTCCATTGTGCAAACACTTGTAAGTACAAGTAGTATTTTGCCTTTCAATATGCTGAGTGCTACAACTCCCACTGATTTCCAAGGGGAGTAGAGTGCCCAGCATCCCACAGTAGGATTTTACCACCTTGCAAAACTCAGGCCATAATAGATACTGGATAATGATATTCAAAGACTATGAGTTTGGGACTGCAAGTGACTTACTAAATAGAAAAAAATCTCAGGGGTAGCCAAGTTATTCTGAGTCTGTAAAAACAAAATACAGGACTATGTAGCACTTTAAAGACTAACAAGATGGTTTATTAGATGATGAGCTTTCGTGGGCCAGACCCACTTCCTCAGATCTAAAACAAATGTGATTTGTCCTTTTCATATGTGTTCATTTTTTTTAATTGTATCCTTTGGTATATATGGTTGTGACTATTTTCTTCCATTATTTGATCTGAGGAAGTGGGTCTGGCCCACGAAAGCTCATCATCTAATAAACCATCTTGTTAGTCTTTAAAGTGCTACATAGTCCTGTATTTTGTTTCAGCTACAACAGACTAACACGGCTAAATTTTTATCACTATTCTGTAAAAACAATGAGTCTTGTGGCACCTTAAAGGCTAATGTTTACTTGAACATAAGCTTTGGTGGGTCACTCACTTTGTTAGATGCATGGAGTGGAAATCTGAGGTAGGGATGCTATCATCTATCTATGGCTATGTCTAGACTGCACTCTAAAATGGAAATATGCAATTTGCACTATGCAAATTGCACATCTTATTCCAATTTCATTTCAAAATAGGTTATTTTGAAATTTGGCGCATCTACATGGTGTCAAATTTTGAAATAAAGCACTATTTCGAACCTGCTTTATTCCTCGTGAAACAAGGTTTACAGGGATGCCGAAATAGTGCCTCTGTTATTTCAAAAATTATTTTGAAAGTGGACATATTCCTTGGATGTGGGGTAGCTATTTTAAGGTTTCCCGAAATAGCCTTGCAGACTAGACGTACTCTATCGATCATCTGTCTATCTTAATACTTATCTCTGTGATGTACTAGTATATCAAAAGAAGGGAGTTACTTAACTTTGGTCCTATACTTGGTAACACATACAATTCCAATTCAGGCATGGTGGATGTTGCTCACTCCTAGCAGCTGATGGGGAAGTATGAATACCAAGAGTGGGAAATAACCATTCTACGTCCTTATTCAGTCCTAATTTGAGTGTTACATTTGCAAATGACTTTCAGCTCCAAAAGGTTGTATTCATTCATGACAAAGGTCACTGAGTCCTAGCTGTGTGCTTTTTCCATTTCAGCTTCCAGAATTTAAGAAAATAAAACCAAAAGTCATAAAACAAACTCCTCTATTTTATCACATTTAAACTAGATTTTTAAACTTTTGCCTAAGTTTCTGACTTTTGTTTGTAAAGAAAATATGAATAAAAAGGTTCCGAAAGTTTGAAGCTTTTAAAACCAATTTATATGTGTCTTTTCCCTCCAATGCAGTTTTTGATACAATTCTTCAAGCCACTGAGTCTCCATTGACTTCAATGGAAAATTAGGTCAGACCTACAGGAAGGCACAAAGACACAGTGTAAGGGCATGCCCAAGGAAAGCATGCATCCTTGCAAACATGCATCCTTCTTGGGTGACTCTCTTCCTGCCCAGACATAGCATTTCAGTGGACTTTGCCTCACTCCCTTTTGTGACAATTCGCTCAGATTCTAGAATAAGTCTCAGCCAGTCCCTTTTCTGGACTTCTTGGCTGGGTCTTCTGTGTTTCAAAGGATAGCTGTGTTAGTCTGTAACTGGAATAACAAACAATGAATAGCCTTGCACATCTTACAGACCAACAAAAATGTAGATGGCATCATGAGCTTTTGTGGGTGTAACCCACTTCAGATGAATAGAGTTTAAGGGTCCCCAGTTTTCAAACAAATATCACAGAGAGGATGGGGAGGGAGACGAGGAAGAAGGGGGAATGAAATTGGTGATTAGAATGTCTATGCTAAATGAAGCTAAGAGCACTTACTACCCACTCTAAGTACACTTTGTTTAGTTTCTTTTATTTCATGAGGATGTGGAATATTGTGGATCCAGCTAATGTCTTTGTTTAGACTTCTGTTGTAGGACTTGTAAATAAATTAAGTTCTGTAGCTTGCCTGTCAAGCTGGCTCTCTAAATTGGTTTAGCATTCTCATAACTGAAATACCCACCCAGAGAAGTGAAAAAACAGATCAACAGCCAGACATCAACTACTTCAAGATAGGCCCTACAAAGAAAACATGACACCAGTTGTCATCACCTACAGCCCCCAACTTAAATCCCTCCAACACATTCTCAACAATCTATCCTGGAAAACGACCCCCTCATTCTCACAGGCCTTGGGGGACAGGCCAATCCTCACCTACAGAAAAACCCCTAACCTCACAAATTCTTTCCAATAAACACACAGCACAGCTCCATCATACTCATCCAGGAACCGACCCCTGTAATCGACCCCGATGCCAACTCTGTCCACACATCTTTACAAGCGACATCATCACAGTACCTAATCATGTAAACCACCACATCAGTGGCTCATACAACTGCATATCCACTACTGTTATCTATGCCAGCAATGCCCCTCTGCTATGTATGGGTATGTCTACACTACCCCGCTAGTTCGAACTAGCGGGGTAATGTATGCATACCGCACTTGCTAATGAAGCCCGGGATTTGAATTTCCCGGGCTTCATTAGCAAGTGCGGTATGCATACATTACCCCGCTAGTTCGAACTAGCGGGGTAATGTATGCATACCGCACTTGCTAATGAAGCCCGGGATTTGAATTTCCCGGGCTTCATTAGCATAAGCGGGGAGCCGCCATTTTTAAATCCCCGCTGCTTCGAACCCCGTGTAGCGCGGCTACACGGGGCTCGAACTAGGTAGTTCGGACTAGGGTGCCTATTCCGAACTACCGGTACACCTCGTTTCACGAGGAGTAACGGTAGTTCGGACTAGGACCCTAGTCCGAACTACCTAGTTCGAGCCCCGTGTAGCCGCGCTACACGGGGTTCGAAGCAGCGGGGATTTAAAAATGGCGGCTCCCCGCTTATGCTAATGAAGCCCGGGATTTGAATTTCCCGGGCTTCATTAGCAAGTGCGGTATGCATACATTACCCCGCTAGTTCGAACTAGCGGGGGAGTGTAGACATACCCTATATTAGCCAAACTGGACGTTCTCTACAAGCAAGAATTAATGGACACAAATCAGATATCTGTAAAGGCAACACACCAAAACCTGATGGGGAACATTTTAACTTGCCTGAGCATTCATTAATGGATCTCAAAGTCACTGTATTATTTCAAACCAATTTTAAAAGCTAACTTGACAGGGAAACTACAGAACTTAATTTCATTTACAAGTTTGATTCCTACAACAGAAGTTGAAATGAAGAGGTTGGCTGGATGGCTCATTACATGCCACATCCCAATCACATAAAACACCAAAAAAAATTGTACTTAGAGTGGTTAGTAAGTGCTCTTAGCTTCATTTAGCAAGACATTCTAATCGACAATTTCTTTCCCCTTTTCCTCCTCTTCCTCCCCCAGCCCCTCTCTGTGCTATTTATTTGAAAACTGGAGCTCTTAAACTCCATTCATCTGAAGAAGTGGGGTGTACCCACAAAAACTCATGATACCATCTACATTTTTCGTTAGTCTCTAAGATTATTTGTTGATTTTTTTGGGGGGGGGGGCAGGGGAGGTCTCCTGTTGTCAGCCCTTTGACCAAATCAGACACAAATCAGTCTGCTTCCTGGGGGAGAGCGGCGGCAAGTCCTACACCAAGAGGTCCTTCGTTCTTCCTTGGGTCAACTTCACACAAACATGGTATTTTTCCCTCGCTGAACTTACCTCCACACAAGTCCTTTGCCCCTGTTCAACTTATCTCCTGTTC